TATATATATATTTAGAAATCTACCATAAACTTTATAAGACAATTTATATCATACCGATTTTATATAATTTTCATGAATAAAATTTTGAGCAAAATTACGTAAATGTTTTGAAAAAAGAAAACTCATGTTATGTTTGGTAAACAAAAGTTCTCATGCTATATTTTGTTAATATGAATCTAATTTTGTATACAAATAAGATTTCTCATATTATTTTCTATTGCTATGATTTGTCAATTTTCACATAAATGAATTTGATATCAATATTCTGCACCTACCCTGTCTATGAAAAAGACATGGAACAAACTATTATTAGCCTAATTAAACATATGGCATAATAAGATATCCCATTTAATTTGTAGAATCGATTTTTCATTAGCAACCACTCGTAGATCATGTTATTCATTTCTGTTGTAGCTATGTGATGAATTTTCTTTGTGCAAATGTCCAATTTTTATGGGGGCTCAAAATGAATAATATATACTGAATGAGAAATTAAAAAAATAGCTTCAACTGGATTTTTGCGTAAATTACTTGTAAACGAAAAGGGCAAAAAGTAAGTTCTCTGATATTATTTCCCTTAAATTTATTTATATTATTAATATATAATACAAAGAAAATGACATGATAACCATCCATAGTAAATGAATGGTCATTTATCATGCATTTATTCATGTTTTATTTGGGTTTCCTACCTGGGTTTTGATGTCCATTTTGAAATTTGACTACAAATAGGGAGTCCTTATTGAAGGGGATTTCATACCCAGGTTTCGAACCTCTAATTGAGGATAAAGGATTATGTACCACTTCACTGTTTGGTGGTATACATTTATTCATACGTCCAACAATAGCTATTACTTACTAAACCACACAACATAATATATAAGTAGACATCGTAAATATTCTTCAGATATTTTTTAGTAATTAATTAGATCAGAGAAGTCTTTTGGTTCCGGAAAGTCCTCCGAGTCATGAAAGTCCTCCTACGACTCCTCCCACTACTGGAAGTCCTCCTACGATTCCTCCAATTCCTGGAAGTCCTCCTACGTCTCCTCCGATTCCTGGAAGTCCTCCTCCTCCTCCTCCAATTCCTGGAAGTCCTCCTCCTCCGACTGGAAGTCCTAAAAATTTCGCGTCATTTACCTCACTTGTCGTTCCTGCTCCAGTAATCATATACACAATCAGTCCAATTTTAAAATGAACTAAATCAGGGGCTCAGGATGATCTAAGTTACTAAAAGGATGGCCATTCACCTACCCAATTATTTCGGTATGCCATACTTTCATGGGTAGATTTTACAATTTTTAGATGAACATAATTTAAACGGATCAAGATATGCTAAATTACTAAAAGGCCAATGAACCCACCCAAACTTGTGTCATTGTGGAAATTAAACCTTTGAAATATACTAAGCACTTATATTATGTCATATAATTAGGAAATCGAGTATAGATTCTTTAATTTATTTATTTTTAAAAAAAAGTATTACTACTCAACTTAGTTAACGATTCAAAATATTTAGAAAATAAAAAAAATGATTTGAATTTTGAAACAGTGACACCTTAATATAAAATGCGGTGGAAAGAGCAAACCTTTTTCCAAGGAAGTGATGGATCTCTGAACCAACTTCCTAGCTGCAACCTCTGATGTTATCACAAGCAAAATAGCCAAAACAATTAGTAAAAATGCCTTCAATCCCATTTTTTAGTTTTGCTTAAATATAACTATTACTTGAATTATGATAATTGTATGAAACTAATGAACATTTTGCCTCTATTTATAGTACTGATCATTTGAACTTCTTGTGAGTTAAAATTGAAAAGTTGCATCGTTAGATTATGTATGTACCAGACTAGTTATTAGTTAAGTTGGCAGATTATATATTAGACTAGTTATATATTAAATTTTCCTAATTATATTTATATGGCAAATTATAATTATATAATTATATTTGGTTGAGAATTAGTTATATTCAAAATGTTATAATCGTCTTGAATTATCGAGCTTCTTTATAACATTATCATTATTCACAATTCAGATAATATTTTAAAACTATTATAGCACAATGTTATTATAAAAAACATATAATACAACATAACATGAAAAACTGATTCCAATTTAGTTTATGATACGTACTAAAATACTAAAGTAGTAAATCATAACTGAATAATAGGAGTAAATTAAATTTCAACCGACTTAGTGAAAGTAACTAAAGTCACTTACATACCTTATTTTTACATCAATAAATTCACCTTATTACTAAAAAATAATTTTAACCGGAAAATGGATTTTCTTTACTATTTTTCAGAATATTGAACCAATTATATTTTTAAAGATACCAATTCATTTTTATTAACTGTTAACTATTTTTTAATACAATTTTACACATAAATTACATCCACATCAAAAGTACTAAATTTAGATAAATCTAGTACTGCGTCCTCCCCTGTCTATGAGAAAGACGTGGAACAAACTTTTATTAGACTAAATTAAACATATGGTACATAACATACTTTTCAAAATTTATTTGGTAAAATCTGAGTTTATGAAGGAACCAACAAATATCCGTCGATTATTTTAGTGTCAAAATTCGGGAAAATTCTTGTTACTATCGGGAAATTTATTGTTTCATGAACGGATAGATCCAACCTGTTTTGTTTTTTTTTTTTTTAAATAAAGAATAATATTTAGAAAACCAGTTTTCTTGGTTAAAACTCTGGTTAACTCATTAAAAATAATTGATTGATCGATAAACTGGCTGGTGCAGTCAACAATTTTATTTTAAAGAATTATAAATTTCATAAAATAATTGGTTGATAATTACTTGTAATAAGTTTTCTGATATTATTTAATTATTATTTATATAAAGAAACACGATATGATAATCATTCGTCCATAGTAAACGAATGCCATACATTTATTCACTTTTTTTCTATCTGGTGTTTGATATCCGTATTAGAGTCCAAATTATTCGAATTCATATAGATAAAGTTACACATTGAATGTAAAGTGCTTCCTATCAAAGGTGATTACATGCATATCCATGTCTGAAACATCTAATTAAGAATAAAAAATTACTTATCACTCCAACACAACCTTTTGTGGTATACATTTATTCATACTTTCAACAACAAAACTATTACCTATTAAAACACTATATATATATATATATATA